ATGTCGAGTATTCGATAGGAAAATATTATTCAAACCTGGATGATCAACATCATGTGCTGCAGCAGACAATAAAAGAATAGAATAATCAAGTTTTGATAGTTTCCCTATTTCCTTAAAGTTGCATTTTTCAATAAAAAAATACACAGTATGTGTGACATCAAAGGCATGAATAACATTATGATATAAATTTTCTTTGTGATAACTTGATCCTAGTTTGTCCAGACATTTTTTAAAAGAATCTGGAGACATTTTCAAAGAACTGAATAACTATTCTTTTTGAAAATAGTAACACATTAAATAGGTCAGTATGGAACTATCATATTTTTAAAAGAGAGAAAAGTAATCATAATCTAGTTTCAAGATATTTTATTCGAAATCCTACTTTAATTATTCTGGCAAATGAGATTCATCAGAAAATTGGATATCTGAAGACATTGAGCGTTTCAATTCATGAGAAATCTATTATTGCTATTATGGTTGATAGAGCCAACCTAATGCTTCACTTTTTTTTCCCTCTATTATTGGTTCATAAACAGTATTATTAGATATATGTGTAATACCCCAATTTAATTATTTTATAATATCTGGATCCTCAAATTAATCTGCAAGATCTCTCATAATTTCAATTACTTTTTCAACTGGGGATCGTACAACATATCTTGCCCCAATATTATTTATCTTTTTGACTTGATTAAACTGTAGGAAAATATTATGAAATTTACTTTGCGGAAGACTAAAAACAATCTTAAAAATCTGAAGATACCCCTTAAAACTTTGCTTATTGTTGTAAATGCATCACCTTCTAGATTTAGATCGAGAATAATTAAAACAATTGAAGCAATAATAATAAGAGCATCAAAAACAGACCATAAATCTGAAAAGTATGTCTAATGTATATTAATATATCATTTACTATAAATCCAACACTGATAAATCGTATTGATATTTCAAAAACAAAGAGAATGAGGATGACTAATTCAATTATTTTGGTTATAAAGAGTGTCTTTTCTATATCTGCATCTTCCTTAGCATCGTTAGCTATACATATTATTACTAAGTAAGTTACATGTAAATGAGAAGTTTATGAACACCAATAAAGTAAAGAGGACAACTAAAACAATAACAACCTTATCTATCAGTGGAATACCAACCTGTTTTTGATCAGTGATTCTTTGATTATTATTTATAATTACTCATCACCAACTACACGATCAAACCCATCTACATTATGAGAAGACCTACGATCTCCTAGAATGTTGGAAATTTCCTTAGAACCTCTAGGAACTACTTTTATTCCCATTTAACCTATATTCTTTTTAGAATCCTCTTTCAAGTTTTATTCTTCTGCCATATTTGTTTATTTTATTAATAAATTATTTCAATGTTTGAATCCTAGAATGTACATCAAAACACAAATAATAGAAAACAAAATTTTTGAAAAAACTTAATTCTTAAGTTATCATTTTTATCTATAAAAATAGCTTGAACATTAAAAATTCAATTATGTTTATTAATAGATTATATTTTCAATCAAAACGTGGACCTTCTTCAATTTATCCATCGATAACTAGTGTAAAACAATATTTTACTCATATTATCTTTCTTTTTTTCAATATTGAGGTCTTATCCTAACTATATTTGGAAAGGGATATTAACAAGCTATTGATATGGCAATTGAGCAAACATTTGATTCAAAGGAGTTGGATAAGGGAAGATAATATGTTATGGGAAGTATGGAGGTTATTGAGGATTGAAAGGATTATATTATTCTTAAATAGGTTATGTTTTTATTCGTTTAGTTAAAGATGGTTCAGCAGGTTTTCTACCTCTTTTTTTTGGTTCTGCTTATGGGCCAGGGTTTTTTGGTTTTGGTCCTCTTTTTTTTGGGATTGTAGATGTAGCTACATCAAAACAGATGTCATTTTAAAATTTATTTTCATCCTTACTTTTATAATCTTCATTTACTATTTTTAATATCACATGAACAAATTCATGTCTGTTAAAACTATTGATGTGATCAGCAGATTTGATATGCTAAATTATTAGATTCCTAAATTTACATCCAAATAATCTGCATAAGGTTTACGACAAACTCCACAATATCTGTGTTTTCTCCCTGGTTTAGGAATTTACTATTTATACAATTATGTATTACTAATTTAGTTTTTTTTGTTGTGTATTCCTAAACTTTTTTTTAATGATCCTCTTTATATTTCTACATGCTCTTTATATAGTCATTCTAATTAATGTATTCATTTAAATTATACTCGATCCACTTCTAAAATAAACCCTGGTAAACACTACTATTCATCTTAATTGAAAACAGGAACAATATTTTCATAACAAGATAACTAAACACAATTAATTCAGATCTCATACAGTATCATTATATAAAGGGCAAAAATCAATGTTTGTAACATTTTTTAGCCAACATTTTGTACTTTTGGGTTGGAGATTGAATTGATGTTCAGGACATTTAGGCTGACATTTGCGTTTGCCTGAACTTTATAATTTTTCTCCAGCCATTTAAATTAATTATATATTAGATATTCAATTATACTAGTTTTCATGTAGAAATTGGAATACTTTCTAAGAAAAAATAACAAAGAATTTTGATTTTAATAATCTACATATTGAAAACAATCTATTTCTTATAAAACACAATAATAATTATTATTTAATAATGCAATATATTGATTAAGGAAGTGCACTTTCTAACAAAAATGTTCCAGGAAGAAGATTACAAAAGAAGAACTCCCTCTTTTATCAAGTAAGACTATTATAAAAAGTATAGTAATCTGTTTTAGAAAACGAGGAATTCACACAACGCTATTAAAAGAATGTCGATGAATTGTAAGTATTTAAGGATGATCCTTATCTTGAACCTCACAAATAGCACTTCTAAGTTAGAAATGCTAAATTCTTCGAATTACTTGAATAGATAGTCAAAGTGGAATCTTCACTAAAAGAATTTGCTAAGGGGTATCTAGATCTATTAATAATAGATATGAGAAATATGGATTTTTGATTTCTGACACTGGGATTACATATAAAGAATGGGCTCCAGGAGCAAAAGAAGTTTATTTGACAGGTGATTTTAATAATTGGGATAAAATGCAATATTCTCTAACCTCAGATTCTTTTGGAAATTGGGAAATATTTTTACCAAGAAATGAAGATGGTTCATATTTAATTCCACATGGTTCAAGAGTTAAGGCATACATAAAGAATGCTAATAATCAATACTAATTCAGAATACCAGCTTGGATTCGAACTACATGGCAGAATGAAGAGAATAAAGTATTTATTGAATAATAGTATATTTTAGTTATATGATGGAGTATTTTATAATCCAGAAAATAAATACGAATTTAAACACAACAGACCACCCAAACCTAGATGTCTAAAAATATATGAAGTACATATAGGTATGGCTGGTATTGAGCCAAGAGTGCACACTTTTAAAGAATTTACCTAGACAGTTTTGCCTAGAGTGGTTAAATTGGGATACAATGTGATATAAATTATGGCAATATAAGAACATGCCTATTATGGAAGTTTTGGATACCATGTTACTAATTTTTTTGCTGTTAGTAGTAGATTTGGTAGTCCTGACGACTTAAAAGAGTTGATTGACACTGCACATTCTCATGGAATAACTGTTTTAATGGATTTGGTTCATAGCCATGCATCTAGTAATGTTTTAGATGGTATCAATGAATGGGATGGGACTGAGTACTAATATTTTCATGCTGGTGGTAAAGGTAAACATGAGTTGTGGGATTCTAAATTATTTGATTATTCTAAATGGGAAGTGATAAGATTTCTATTATCAAATTTATCATGGTGGATGAATGAATATCAATTTGATGGATTTAGATTCGATGGTGTCACATCTATGTTGTATGTTCATCATGGAAATGGTTATGGTTTCACTGGAGGATATCATGAATACTTTAATGAATTAGCTGATATCGATTCATTAGTCTATTTGATGTTGGCAAATGATCTCATACATGAAATTCATCCTAATTCAATTACTATAGCTGAAGATGTTTCTGGTTATCCAACATTATGTCGTAATATTAAAGAGGGTGGAATTGGATTTGATTATAGAATGGCAATGGCTGTACCTGATAAATGGATTAAATTACTTAAGGAATATAAAGATGATGATTGGGATATGGGGGATATCACTCATACACTTACTAATAGACGTCATTTAGAAAAATGCATCTGCTATGCTGAATCTCATGATTAAGCATTAGTAGGAGATAAGACTCTCTCTATGTGGCTATTTGATAAGGAAATCTATAGTGAAATGAGTACACTTTAGCCCGAAACATTAGTCACTTTTAGAGGCATGGCTTTACATAAGATGTTGAGATTGATTACATTTGCATTAGGTGGTGAAGGATACTTAAATTTTATGGGAAATGAGTTTGGACATCCTGAATGGATAGATTTTCCAAGAGAAGGAAATGGATGGAGTTATTAACATGCAAGAAGAAGATGGGATTTAGCTGATGATTAATTATTAAGGTACTCCAGACTCTTATAATTTGATGCTGAAATGATTAACCTTGAAGAAAAATATCCCTGGTTACCTACTGGTGATCAATGGGTTACTGAAAAACATAATGAAACAAAAGTTATTATATTTGAAAGAGGATCTCTTCTATTCGTATTTAATTTCCATCCTACCTAGGTATTTATGTTTTAATTATTATTACTTTTTAGTCATATGAACATTTTAAGGTTGGTACTAAATTTGAATCAGATCATAAAATCGTTTTAGATACAGATGATGTGAGATTTGGAGGACATTCAAGAGTATCACCATCTTATGGTCAAAATTTCCCAATTATAAAGGAAGAGTGGTAAGGTAGACCTAATCATATCTAAATCTATTTACCTAATAGATGCGCTATCGTTTTTAAATCAATTGAGTGATTTTTTGTTTTAAAAGACATACATATAACGATTAATTTAATTTTAAAATGTATTCACTATAGAAATTAGTGCCAAATAGTAAATTACAAATTAAGCCTGGAGCATTCTCTCAACATCAAAAATTAAATTAAAGTGTCGATGGTGTATTGCCTGTAAATTAATAATCTTTGCAGCAACTACAAACATAGATATAAATATTAACAAAAAAAGAACCTCTACGTCAATAAAATAAGAAATAAGAATTACTATAGATTTTAGAGAATGCCTAAGCAAACTAAAAATAAACTAAATCAATGTCACCTAAAAGAACACCTTAGAAATAGAAGAGTAACAGAAAATTGAATTTTAATTAAATCACAGATCAGGATAATCTATTTTTGAATTCAAGCAATGCTATGGCCAATATGATTATTGAAAACATCTTAAATAAAGATGAATATTATGAGAAAATTAAATTAGAGAATTAAGAACTAAAAGATTAATCCTCAAAATATTAAGCCACAATAGGAGATCTTAAAAAGAAAATGACTACATTAGAACGTTAGAATAAAGAAATCAATACTAATCTAAGCAATGAACGTCAAACATATTAAAATGAGCTAATCAAAATCAATGAGAAGATTCAATCCATGAAAACTATGCAGTAAAACTTATAAATGGAATAAAAGAAAAATGAATTACTCACAAAATAATTATAAGATCAAATAACTATTAATAATGGCTTAAAATCCTTTATTTGTGAAAACTGCTTGTTAAGTATTGAATTCTTAACATTTCTATAAAAGTCAGTATAAACATTTTAACCAAATTTAAGTAGTGCTTATGATACTTTAATTGCATTATCAAAACATTCAACATCTTTTATTTTTGAATTTATATCTAAAACTTAGAATTTGAATCTACCTGCATTAAGAAATTGCCTCTTACCAGAAGAATTTGATGTTAATGGATTTTTCGAGATTTTAGAATAATTAAAAATGCATGAATCACCAGAGTTATCATTTCGTAATAAAAATAATAATGTTGTAAAATAGAGTATTCATGTAAATAATAATAATAATAATAATAATAATAATAATAATAATAATAATAATAATAATAATAATATTAATTTATCCATACCAGATGTAGCAAAATAAAATAAAATTACAAGTTTGTAAGAATAATTTAATGCATTTCTTGAATCAAGTGAACCATTTTCAGATTCTTAATTAGGTAGTCCTTATTTCACAGATCTTGATACTCTTGATAAATAAAGACCTTTTACTAAAGAAAAACAAAGAAATTAAATGCCCTTGTAAATGAATGCTGCGAAAAAGATTAAACAAGAAATTAATTAGACTCCTCATTATTTTTAATCATTTAAATAAAATGATAATGAACCAACAGTCTTTGATTCGTTAATGAAAGAGGCTCCCATTAATAAAGATAGATGTTCTTCAGTTCATAGTTTAAGATATTTGGATTAACAAATTTAAAAAGAGTAAGAGAAATCAACTAAAAGGAATAAAGAAAATTAATAGGTTAATTGTTAATTTGTTATTGCTAAGTACGATTATAAAGCTTAAAAAGTATGTACATATTTAATAAATTTAATAGGATATTGATTTGACTTTTAAGAAGGGAGATTAAATAAAACTATTAAAAAAGACAACAAATGGATGGTGGTATGGTGAGGATAAAAATTAAGTTAAGGGATACTTTCCACATAATTTTGTTCAATTAGTAGGATGATTGTAGTTAAATAAATTAGTTTTCATTTTTTGATCTTAACTTTCCATAACATATCTATTTAGCAATTTGATTATATCTTAAGTAGATTCTATAACTAAGTTGCTATTCTTTTCAATTTAATCAGAAATTGAGACACAATGAAATTTCTATGTTTAAAATAAAATTTACTTTGTTTAAAGGCAAATTTGCAAATTAAAATATTTACATAATTTTTTCTAACCATCCTCTATCAAATGATATAATATTAGCAAATGATACCAAACCTTTTTAATTTGTTTCATTTATAATGATCATTTTTAGTAATTCTTCTATTTATTAATATTAATGTTTGATCTTAATTGCATAATTCTCTTAAAAAATCAAATAATCATCAAATTCTAATCTAAGTTCTTTAATTAAATTAGAAAGGAAAACATTTGCAGCAGCATTTGTATCTTTAATCTATTCTTTAAAAGATAAAGTATAAATTTAATTCTTTTCTGTTAAGTTTAAATGTTCCAAAAGTGATAATTACTATAATTTTGCTTGAATCTAATCATCTCTTTCCACAATTTATTAAAAAGTAGTTTGATTATTTTATTTTATAAAAAGTCCATCTTAAGCAATCATATACAAATTATTAATAGAACCAAAGTTTAATTCCATAATTTCACAATCTTAATCAGAAACAATAATAAGAGTATTATTTTCATCTTATGCTAATCTTTCAAATGCTTGAACTAATTAATCTAGTTTCTGAATTTTCTGTAAAAATCTATGAGTATAAGCAAGGATTATAATTCTCTAATTATCAAGATAATTATGATTAGCAAATTTAGAAACAATATTAGTTGTTTCAATTGAGCAAAAATGTTTATCCTTTAATCCTATAGTTAATTCTTTGGCTGAATCATACAATTATTTATCCAACCAGAAATCTTCACAATAACTTAAATGATCATTCAACCTATGTAACCAATCATCACTACTTGGAACATTAATAAATGTTGGTTTTTAATCAATCAAATAATCCAAGATTGTGTTAGCTGATTCAGAAGCATTATTAGGATTTATTTTTCTATGATCAACTTTTAAAGAACACCATTAACTTAATACTAATTTTGCAGCCTTCTTCTTATATTATCTAACATAAATATATTCTAAATAATTTGAACAAATGCTTTCTCTTAATGATGTCTTTAAAAAAACATCAGCCTTTCCATATAGACTTACTAATTCACTTTAAGAAAGATCAAGTCTAATTTAAATTAATTCATATTAACAGTTTTGATTAATTTATTTTGCTAGATTCTATATTTCATCTAAATATTTGGATATCTAACAATTACTTTAATAGTCTTCATCATTATTTGTATATAAGATTTATATTAATTAAATTTTATATTACTTTATTAGATACATCTATTCAATTATTTTAAATTTCTATTATAAACCACTTAAAAGTGATAAACTATCAACTCCAAGTAATATAAATTGTTATTCTTAATTTATCTCATCTATTGTTATTAAGTTTTATAATTATTTTATATTCAAACCAACACTTCCATAATCCAAAATTATTTTTCTACCTAATACTTCTATTGTAAATGCACTCATACCAGAAACTTATGTTAATTTTTGATATTTTTAAGGCAAACAATGCATAAATTAATACAAATCTTTTAATTATATTAATGAGATCAAATCACTCATTAATATAGATGATAATATAGTTTCACTACATGATAGAATTCGAAATTATTTTGGATTTGGAAATGATCTTCTCATTATAGTACATATTCTAGGTCTATTTTCATTCTTTCTAATTAAACCTTCTTTTATATAAATTGGTATCAAATAGAGATGATAGTCAAAAATGAAAATTGAATGTAAATGATTAAATTAATTTTGAAATAATGTGCATTATAATGCTTCTTAAACATATTTTGAAAAGATTTTATTGATTTCCATATAATCATCTTCTGAATGTAATCTTAATTATGGAGTTAAATTATTGAAAACTGGACTTATTAATTATGGAAAACACCCTAAAATAGTATCATCTAACTATATTCCAAAGCATTTGTACTATTCATATACATATTATTAGATTAGAATATATTCATTTTCATCTGCAACTTAAATTCCAATCCATCCTATCCAAATTGCCTTCAAACTTAATCTGTTACTAAAGAGATTGTACATATTAATATAATAAGGATCTGAAGTTAATTCAAACTTATATTTGTTTATAATATCTAGATATAATTACAATCAACATACCCTTTTTATTTGTCACTTTAAAAAATTGATCAATTAAAGTTATTTTTAAAGGTATCTTTAATGACAAACAAATCACATAAGAATCTGTGAAAATTTGAGTAGAAGATGAGCGCTTTCTTTTATAATCAAAAATCAAATCAGAAGATCCATATTATTCTGAAATCTTTTTAAATTTAGATATTGACTTTAATTTTTGTTTACATTCATAATGACTCTAAAATGGATTAAGTTAATATTATACCTTTATTATTTCTCTCCAATCCGCTTCTAATTAACGAATTGAGACTTTTGCAGATCCTCTTTCATCTATTGCTAATTCTGGAATGCTTTCGTTATCAGACTTAATATTTAAAGATTATCATACTGAATCTAAAGCATTATCAAAGGGATCGTAATCTCTTGATCGATTAAGTCTTTAAACTTTCACTAAAAAGCATTTTATACAAAAATATACTTAGCTCTTCTTATACAAATTCATTCGAGATTTCATACTTTTAAAATGTTCTAATATTCATTGAGGGTTTATTGAATGTTATATAGAGGAAATTGCGCCTAAAATCACACTTGTGGATTCGATTTGGGATACTCTCCCAAATATAATTATCTCCATCTTGAATTAGACACTTGAATTCTAATCTAAAACCTAAATGCTTAAAACGATTATTAACTTGGATCAATTTGAATTTTGCTTTCGTGGCTCCATTCTGGATAGGTTTCACTAGAAGTGTATAATGGATATGAATCATGAGGATTCCATTGACCAAGAATTTGATGATTACCACAAATACGAACTATTTGTGAATATCTCGTCTCTGTTATCACCTTAAAACTAATATATGACATCTTAAATTATAAGAAGTATAATTTATTAAATATGTGAAGAATTGGTCTTTCTTTACAATTGCAATCGTGCTAGGTTATTTTTTAAGGATTTCCTTCATTATATCATAGAACTTATGTGTCATACTAATTTACAATTTAGTATTTTTATGTTGAAGTTAGTTAAACAATCTACAATGCTAAAAAGTTGAATTGGAAATAGTTAGTTCCTTCCATTGATTATGACTTAAACAACTTATAACAATTAAAATTAACTACATGAAGCATTTATCAATTTTTTGAACATCTTCATATCTCCAACTTTTGAAGAAATTTGAGTTTTAACCTATGAAAGAGAATTATGAATATAATAAATCAAAAACCTAAATCAGTTAATAGAGAGCAAGTAATATAAGTAGGATTGGTAAAAAATTGAATAAAATTAGAGTTCACCTGAATAGAAATTACAAATTTAGATCGAAAATATTAAATTGAAATTTTGAATGAAAATTATTGATCATGTAATATGTAGAGTAGCTATTGAAACATTATTTTATATTAAGGATGAGAAATCAATTTGAATTATAGTGATTCTTTATCAGAAATGTTGTTTAAGCAATAACTATTGTTAAACATAAGACATTTTTATAATAAAAACTTTATTTCATGTCCTATAAAATATAATAATGAATTATTTAAAATAAAGAAGAACATCATTAAACATATAAATAATTTGTAAAATAATGTTAGTAACTTAATTTTTAATCTATAATAAGAGATATCTAAGAAATATAATTATGATGGTTGTTGATTTTATATATTTTGTGATAAAAATCACTTAGATTATCATTATTCTCCTTCTTCTTCAAATTCTCCTTCTTCTTCAGCAGTGGCATCTTGATATTATTGATATTCAGAGACTAAGTCGTTCATGTTAGATTCAGCTTCAGTGAATTCCATTTCGTCCATACCTAGAATAGATTAAAATTAAGTAGATACCTTCACCAGTGTACCAATGTAAGAAGGCCTTTCTTCTAAACATGGCTGTGAATTATTCAGCAACTCTCTTGAACATTTCTTAGATGGCAGTTGAGTTACCAACAAAGGTAACAGCCATCTTCAAACCCTTTGGTGGGATATCACAGATGGATGATTTAATGTTGTTGGGAATCCATTCAACGAAATAAGATGAGTTCTTATTTTAAACATTAAGCATTTATTCGTCGACTTCTTTGGTTGACATTCTTCCTCTGAAGAGAGCAGATGCTGTTAAATATCTTCCGTGTCTTGGATCAGCAGCACACATCATGTTCTTGGCATCGAACATTTATTATGTCAATTCAGGGACTGTAAGAGCTCTGTATTGTTATGATCCTCTTGATGTGAGTGGGGCAAAACCAATCATGAAGAAATGGAGTCTTGGGAATGGAATCAAGTTAACAGCTAATTTTCTCAAGTCAGAGTTCAATTGACCTGGGAATCTAAGACAGCATGTAACTCCTGACATAGCAGCTGAGACCAAGTGATTCAAATCACCATATGTTGGGGTTGTCAATTTCAATGTTCTGAAACAAATATCATATAAGGCTTCGTTATCAATGACCATGCATTCATCAGCATTCTCGACCAATTAATGGACTGAAAGGGTGGCGTTGTATGGTTCAACGACTGTGTCAGACACTTTTGGTGATGGCACAACTGAGAATGTTTCCATGATTCTGTCTGGATATTCTTCTCTAACCTTTGAGATCAACAAGGTTCCCATTCCTGATCCGGTACCTCCTCCCAATGAGTGAGTGATTTAAAATCCTTATAAGCAATCACATCCTTCAGCTTCTTTTCTAACTACATCCAAGACTGAGTCAATCAATTCTGCACCTTCGGTATAGTGACCCTTGGCCCAGTTGTTACCAGCTCCTGTTTGTCCGAAAACAAAGTTATCTGGTCTGAATAATTGTCCGAATGGTCCAGCTCTGACAGAGTCCATAGTTCCTAAAATTCATTAATTTTATAAGATACCTGGTTCCAAATCCATAAGAATAGCTCTTGGGACATATCTTCCTCCTGTTGCTTCGTTGTAATAAACGTTAATTCTTTCCAATTAAAGATCAGAATCTCCGTGATATGTTCCTGTTGGGTCAATACCATGTTCGTCTGAAATGACTTCCCAGAATTTGGCACCAATTTGATTACCACATTGTCCTCCTTGAATATGAACGATTTCTCTCATTGTGACGGTTACGAAAAAGGATTTTGTTTTTTTTAATGTTTGAAATTTGAATTTCTTCACAGCTTTGAATCATAAAATCCACCCCCTTTTCCAAAATATCTTAATTAACTAGTCAATTAATTAATAACTGATTATATATAGTTATATACAATAATATTCAAATTTAAACCATTCTCATTTTATCATTTTTTCCATAATTTCTAATACTTCTCTATCTTATTCACATATAATAGTTCTCTCCTTCTTGTATATATGGTATTTCCAATAAAACTAATATATTTTTATTCTTTCCTTCACATTTATTCAATAAAATTCTTTTAAGTTAGATTTAATATCAACAGCCTCTATCTTAATTATCATAATCATTTCATATTGAAAATAACATCTATTTTAATATATATGCTAAATGGACAATAATTATTTAATATATATATTAGTGATTATCATACATATTAATTTTCACTCTTTTTTCTTATTGATAAAATAAAATAAATTAATATCATGTATATGGTACCTGAAAAGCCAANTAATTTTCTCAAGTCAGAGTTCAATTGACCTGGGAATCTAAGACAGCATGTAACTCCTGACATAGCAGCTGAGACCAAGTGATTCAAATCACCATATGTTGGGGTTGTCAATTTCAATGTTCTGAAACAAATATCATATAAGGCTTCGTTATCAATGACCATGCATTCATCAGCATTCTCGACCAATTAATGGACTGAAAGGGTGGCGTTGTATGGTTCAACGACTGTGTCAGACACTTTTGGTGATGGCACAACTGAGAATGTTTCCATGATTCTGTCTGGATATTCTTCTCTAACCTTTGAGATCAACAAGGTTCCCATTCCTGATCCGGTACCTCCTCCCAATGAGTGAGTGATTTAAAATCCTTATAAGCAATCACATCCTTCAGCTTCTTTTCTAACTACATCCAAGACTGAGTCAATCAATTCTGCACCTTCGGTATAGTGACCCTTGGCCCAGTTGTTACCAGCTCCTGTTTGTCCGAAAACAAAGTTATCTGGTCTGAATAATTGTCCGAATGGTCCAGCTCTGACAGAGTCCATAGTTCCTAAAATTCATTAATTTTATAAGATACCTGGTTCCAAATCCATAAGAATAGCTCTTGGGACATATCTTCCTCCTGTTGCTTCGTTGTAATAAACGTTAATTCTTTCCAATTAAAGATCAGAATCTCCGTGATATGTTCCTGTTGGGTCAATACCATGTTCGTCTGAAATGACTTCCCAGAATTTGGCACCAATTTGATTACCACATTGTCCTCCTTGAATATGAACGATTTCTCTCATTGTGACGGTTACGAAAAAGGATTTTGTTTTTTTTAATGTTTGAAATTTGAATTTCTTCACAGCTTTGAATCATAAAATCCACCCCCTTTTCCAAAATATCTTAATTAACTAGTCAATTAATTAATAACTGATTATATATAGTTATATACAATAATATTCAAATTTAAACCATTCTCATTTTATCATTTTTTCCATAATTTCTAATACTTCTCTATCTTATTCACATATAATAGTTCTCTCCTTCTTGTATATATGGTATTTCCAATAAAACTAATATATTTTTATTCTTTCCTTCACATTTATTCAATAAAATTCTTTTAAGTTAGATTTAATATCAACAGCCTCTATCTTAATTATCATAATCATTTCATATTGAAAATAACATCTATTTTAATATATATGCTAAATGGACAATAATTATTTAATATATATATTAGTGATTATCATACATATTAATTTTCACTCTTTTTTCTTATTGATAAAATAAAATAAATTAATATCATGTATATGGTACCTGAAAAGCCAAATAAGAAGGAATAATATATTAAAGTTAAATATAATGATGGTATAAGTGATATTTGGGTTTTTCCAGAAAATGTAAGTCCATTGATGTATAGATCATCAACATGTGTAAGGTACAATGATAAATTTTCAAAATTTATTGTTTCATGAGTTGATAGTTTTTTATAAATGAAGCCATCTTTAAAACACCCTCCTTCAAAATAAAACCTATCTCCTTTGATAGAGATTTTGAAACATATTTCACTCAAATAATATATTTAGTCACCCTTCCAAAACCAAGGAGTGATAGGTATGCCAATTGATTTATTACATTGCGGCAAATTTTTTATAATTTTTTAAGTTTATCGTTTTGAAATTTTAAGTAAAAGGCAATGAACTTTAGGGTGAATCAAATTAGCTAATTAATAATCTATATAGCCAAAAAATTCATGAAAATTAGTTTTCTAGAAGTACGTTGATGTGTTGTTATTGAGAGTATTATGATAATGATTTATTTCTAAAGAAAATTGTTAATTATTGAGTTTTCCTATGATAGGATATTGTCTAAATTGTGTTTAATATAAATTAAGGTTCCAATCAGTAGTTTACTAAATAAAATAGTTACAAATTACTTTTTCAATTATAAACTGCTATTCAATGTCTTATTATTAGTATGGTAAAATAAAAAAGGAACATGAAAATAGAAGTAGTATTAAATCAATAACACATATAGTATAAAATAGAATACAAAAGATTCTATTTGGAATGAGTTATTGAATTTTAAAACAATCATATCTAACAAGATAAACTTATAACATAAATTATTAATTTATTTCAATACGATTATCTTTTTAATTACTGATTCTCTTATTCTAATTATGAGATTCTCTAAACTAGATTACTTTGTTCTTTCATATATTGATCCAAGATTTATTACATTTCATTTTGTTAAATTTAAAATTATCTAATCATATCAACATGCATAGAACTAACACTATCTTAAACAATCTTTTTTAATTGATATGTTTAATCATTAATCTATTGTTGAATATATTTCTTTTATTCATCAGTAAAGCTAAAGATAACAATAAAACAAATAAATACTCATTTTATCCTCCAATTACTCTACTAACTTCATATTTTCTAGAAATATCCTCAATTTTACTAGTAGATTAATCAAATTTAGATTACTAACTTGATTATACACGAGATTGAACTATTACCTAAATAAATTGGATTTAGTTTACATTAATCATATTGCATTTGCTTTTATTATTCAATTTTAATCATTGATTCTTTATTACTTAAAGTACTCAAATCTTTAGTACTATCTTTCTTAATTTCTAATATCAATGGAGATTTGATTTGATTAGGTTTTAATTATGATTAAACACTCAAATTACTATCATTTAATAGTCTTTATGATGGAGGAGGTTATTGAGATTATGATTCAATATTTTAATATTCCATATAATTAACACTAGAGTTGTCATGTCCTCTAAACTACAATTTAGGTTTCTAAGTCATTCTTATATCATAAACATATATTTATCCATACAGAGTACCCACAGTAACAGAATAATCATCATTTTATATAGCAACAGAATTCAATGGATTTTCACAAGCTATTGTATGTGTAACCTTTTTATCAACAATACTATAAAGATAACATTTTTGATCAGTTCCAACACTACATACTAATGATTAAGTAACACCTATTCCTGTAACTTTGCTAGTATGTTAAGATGAGAAATTGCATTAATATTCATTCTTATTTAGATCAAAGATTGTCACAGATCCATCATTACTACCTGAACATAAGAGATTTTTGCTCATAAATTTAACTGCCTTAAATCCAGGTGTTTTTGATCCTTTTAAATTGAAAGTAGATACTGCAATCTGTGTATTTACATCATGAACAAGAATATCACCTACATTAGAGGCACTTGCAATAAGTGTGTCTGCAGAATTCCAATGTAATGAATTAATTTAAGAATAATGTCCTTTTAGATGACTTTGAATAGATTTCTTTTTCAAATCCCATACCCGCACAATTGAATCATGACCTCCACTTGCTAAATATTAACTATTTGATGTAAATGAAATTGCATTAATAGCTTTTCCATTATGTTCTAAAGGTAATAAGGATTCACCATCTGCAGCTCTACTTAAAACTATAACTCCATCATTTCCACAACTCGCAATAACACAATCTATTAAATTTAAAATTTCAAATACTATTATGATTCCAAATGCAACAATTAATACTAGATTTATGTGGGTTTATTCTTAAAATAGGGTCCATAGATTAATCATGTATGAGAATGCTTTTGCTACAAGAAACCAATTAACTCATTATTTAAATATATAAAATAATGTTTGATATATCATCAATTCATTATTTATAACAACCTTTATAAATTATTATATTCATCTTATTACACTTATACCTCTACTAGATTTAATTCCTAATTTGTTATTATAATTATTAATAATTGTCAACTCATAATTTTATACTCTAATCAATTTTATTGTAAATAGTTTTATTAGAATAAACTCTTCAATTAAAATAGGATAAATGTATATATATTATACAAATTCATCAAACTTTTTTTGATTAACTTATCTAATCATAAATTTAAACTATAACTTAAAATCAAACATTTTAAATACTTATATTATATATGAACTTAAAAATCTTTACATTACCATAAGACTATATACAAACACCTACATAATACTTCTTTGTTTTAATCCATAAATTTAATATATAATAATATGCATAGTAGACAACATCTATCAATAAAGTACCTTGATGGACCCAAATTGGATTCAACTCAAGTTCGTCGTAAGAGCTGTGTTTGTGAATAGTGTGGGACTACTGCTCCAAAAGAAGATCGTCTACCTAATTAATTATGTGAAATAGCCTACCACAAATAAGAAAGATTAGCTGAAGTCTTTCTAAGTAAATTAGAAGGAGCAAGACGATATATGAGAAATGATCATAAAAAAAGAAACTTTCGAATATATGCCAAAAATCCACTATTTATACTACGTTCTTAACCCGATCTGGAAGAAAGTATGCATCTTCCAACATCACCAACAAAGACTCATACACCTGAAAAAGAACGTTTAAAGACTGAGCAACCTTAAATTGCTCCATATAAATCATATAAATATGTTCCAACTTCAAATTGCTTTCTATAAAATATGAAGCAATAAGTTATGCGTTCAAACAAAACAATTAATCGATTATTAACTGATAGAAAGGCAATTTAATCATTTCAGTCTTCCACTTCTGACAGATTATTAGTCACTAAATCTCCTTAAAAAAATAAAAGAAGCTTTATTAAATAACTTAAGCCTCTTCCAAAATAGAAATTACTTTAAACTAAATTTGACTGTATGATTAGATAATTCTTTAACTCATCTAAAGCCAAATAATACTGACGAAATGATTATAATTTTTTTGTGTTTATTAAACATTATTCCATGCAAGAGACTGAGCAATCAGAAAAAGATATGATAGGTTCCCTTCTTGATGGTAATCAATATACTAAATTCTATAGATGATGAATCAGAATGCTCAGAATTTCGATCTTCCATTACCAAATCCCAGTAACATTCATAATCTGTAAAAATAATGTTCTTTATAAATACCTTTAGCCTGTTAAAAGTATTAAAGATTTAAAAGAGAGCCCAGTTTTAAATGAAGATCCAACGTATTATTAAAAATATTCAATTAGTTATTAAGAATTCCCCTCTGCTGATCCAAGCAACTTTTATATTACAGTGTAGCCTACATTTATTCAATAACGATAACATTCTTTAAGTCATGAATTCCATTCATACATGTTACCTTAACAACCAATATACTATCCTTGTTAAGATGGTTATTTCTCTTAAAAAAGAACAAAAAAATTACAATTATAAACAGAGATTGATTCATCAATAGTACAATTATTTAATTAAACTATCTTAGTCACAATAATGTCAAGATCAATATGCCTCTTTAATCATTTAATAATCATTCATTTAAGGAAATGAGTATTAAAGAGAAAAAATATTTAAAGGATTAGTTGATGATTTACTTTTACTATCAAAACATAAATTTGGAAATTATGTCATCTAAAAAATAATAGAAAATAGTAATTAAAATACTAGAACACTTATTTTTGAATAATTGAACTCTCATGTATTGGAAATGTCTTAAGACAAATTTGGTTGTAGAGTTGTATAAAAATTGTTAGAATTTATTCAAAATTAATAAAAAGTATAACTCATATCCTAACTTAAACCTTATGCTTTAAAATTAATATTTGATTAGTGTGGAAATCATGTTATCTAAAAAATAATAGATTTAGTTACTGATGCTGAATTTATTATAGATTTAGTCAAGAATAATGTAGAAAAGGTTGTATCTCATCCTTATGGATGTAGAATAGCATAAAAATGTTTAGAAATATTTCCCAATGATAAATTATAAGAACTATATATATCCTTAATTCCATTATGTGAAAGATTATCCTTTTGTTAATATGGGAATTATATTGTTTAACATATGATAAATTAAGGACCTCCAAAAGGATTTGAAGTAATTGGAAAGTTTATCAAATAAAGAATAATAGAAGTCAGTTAAGATAAATATGGCAGGTAATAATATTAATTCAAATGTAGTAATGTAGCCCAAAGGTATATTACATTGGCTTAAGATGATGATATTGCTAGTATATGTAAAATTCTTATGAATCAAACAATTCCACCTATGTTACTAATATTAATTAATAATTCTTTTGGAAATTATGTTATGTAAAATTTCTATTTGAAATGTAATGAAAAATAAAAAGAATAAATTTAAATTCAACTTTCTAAATATGAAGAACATTAATTCACTTAATTTGGTATTTAAATTCAATTACTAAATTAGGTCGACATTTCTTATAATATTTAGCCAGATTTCATGCTTGTTGATTGTTAATTTTTATTTTATATAATAATAGATATAATAATTATTAAAATTAATTTAAAAAAACAAAGAAACTTTTTCAAAATATATTACATTTAGGTGATTATTGTTATTATTACTCTAATTATTTTTTTGGTGTGTAATTATAAACTTAAAAGTATTATTAGTATTATTATCTTTCAATTTTCTTTTATTTCTCTATTACTTCTTTTTTTATATCATTTGTATTAATTTTCAATGTTTTATTATCACTATATATTAACCATTTTAACCATTCTTTCTTAAAATCTGATTGATTTATTAATATATCTATTTTTGCATAAGTCTTTCTAGGTTTCTAATTATGTTATTTCCCATCCAAATAATGAGATAATAATAAATTCAAAATACTTTAGAATAACTTATTCTTTCGAACTGTCTAACAATCTTTAGATAATGTAAAGATTTCTCCTATTGGCACATAAAAATATCTGATTGGATGAATAACAAGATCAAGATTTTATTCCTATTCAGATTTTTATAAATTGTACAATAATCCTAAAATTTATTTTTCTTCACTTATTCTCAACATATCTGATTTTAATAATGAATATAATGTAAAATAGGGTAATTAACAGAACTTATCGTTAAAATTATATCCACACCAATGCATTAAAGCAGAATGAAGAGGATCTTCTTATATATAAACCTTTAACCATAAAGAAGAACCTACAGTCTAAATATCTTCAAATCCTACTGTGTGGAATTAATTTGTTGGATATGTATGATACATAACTCTTTCATTGCTTTATTCTTATTTATTAAGTATTGAAATTTTAACTAAAACACTAATAAAATTTAATTTTGTATATTAAGGTAATGATTCATCCATTAAGTTATCTTCAAGATTCATATATTTTAGATTATTTTTAATTGATCCCCTTTCTTACAAATAAATTGATATGATATTCTTATCATTAATATCAATAATTAATCTCCAAGCAAGACTTTATGAAGCAAAACATTCAGAAATTACAATTGAATTACCTACTACATTACTAATTTTCATTTCATAAACCAACTTGTTAATTTTACAAGTATTAGAGTTTTATTAATAAAATGAATATTCATCAAATAATGATTCGGAATAATGAAATTCTTAATCAGTATATATAGAACTTCTCCTTTTCTTGGTCTCTTAAAGTCTTTAAGGATATATAATAATTTGATTATTTAATAGAGGCAAATTCTATTCAAATTAATAATTAGTGAAATCTTTATATTTAAATCCACAATTAGATAAATGATCCATTGATAATTGTTTTAGTAAATCTATTTATTAACATTATTTTTTCTCTGTTATTAACCATAATAAATTATCAACTCCTTCAAAATCAGTTTACATTAAAGGTTATTAAACAAGAAAATATATTTCTTCAGGTGTCATCAAATCAAATATTTTCTTATATTTATTTTACATCTATTAATCTTTAATAATTGAATCATCTTATCTACCTCTAATTAAATCAATTATAGTTTTGCAATTTAATGAAAAATATGTTACTGTATAAACATAAACAAATTTAAAAATGTAAGAAAGATGAGAATTTTAATTCCTAAAACCTATAATGTACCAATCTAGTACAAATTCATTTATCATCATAGGTATTACAACTCTACTTATTAATTATTCAATCAATTAATATAACTCTAATTTTTCTGCCAATCTATAAAATTTAATTGATTAATGAATTCCTACTTCATTCCATTCTGAATCTGTCAATTTACCTAAATATATGTATTTATAAACCATATCAAATAATTATAAATTATCAACCTACAAATTTAATTCAAATTATTTAGTTTCTAATAATTCTTTAAAATAATTAGAAACCTAAATCAATACTGATTTATGAGATTTATATTAATGATCATTAACTATTAGAACAATATCTGAAAATTTCTCATTACGATATAATGCATTAAAATTATGATCTTTGTGATCTAATAATAATAAAATTATTTACATCTTATAGATTAACTTAATAAACCCTATTCTATTTCTTTCATCTTTTTTTATGCTCTATTTGATCTTAAATCAACAAAATCATAAGGATGTATTGAATTAATCTTGAGTTTACATTTGAATGGAATTTCATTATCTTTTATTTATGCCCCTTCTTTCTATAATATTTTTTAAGTATTTGACAATTAGAATTCTGATTTCTTTTATTATTTGATTGATTATCTTATTGAATATCGATAAGATGTTTTATTTTAAGGCTCAGGATTTGAGGTTCTTTTCTTGATTGCAATTGATTCATCTTGTTTTTGAGGACTAAAAGACCACTTTTTAGGTGGAGATTCCAATTATGGTTCTTCAAAATAATATTGTTCTTCAGGTTATTATATTTATAAATTATTTGGATATTATTACAATTATTAATGATATAACATCATTTAATATTGAAGTTATTATTATTAATATAATTGTTATTAGTATTATTATTATAATAACTATTACTATTGTTATTCATAATAAAATTATTATTATTATTATTACTATTATAAATATTATTATTATTAGTATTAATAAGATTATTATTATTATTATGAATAATCTTAATTAAATGGTTATTATTATTATTATTATTATTATTATTATTATTATTATTATTACTAATTATAAAATTAATTTTATTATTATTATTATTATTATTATTATTATTGTAAAAATAAGTCTTATGATTCATAATTACGATTAGAATGCTATTAAGAATTACCAAAATAAAGAGATTCAACATTATAAGGTTGAAATATTTATTAACTCTACTACAAATTATTCTAAGGCTTTTCAACCTCTCTACATAAATCTTAATAAATATTTTATAATTATTTCTAATCCAACATATTACTTAAATGTTCATTTATAGCAGAATCTTAAGTATTTACAGTCTAATGTCTTATTTCTGAGAGTGTTGACTATTCCTTATGAGTTAAAGGAACATATGGATTTTGACTTTTTTCTAGCATTTATGATTCTGAACTAATTAATCCATCAATTAAACAAGGAAATTTAGGGGCATTTAGATATTTAGATTCTAAATTTTTAGTGTATAAATCTAAATCATCAGGCTTTGCACTAGATTATTCGTATTGATTTTCTTCAATACGAAACAATTATAAATTTTTTGATGTAGTATGAGGTACCTTTGGATGATGTTCTTATTCAAATCCTGTAAATTTTTAACCTTTAAGTTATTCAATTTTATTTTATAGATTTGATTTAATAGGTTGTAGTGGGTCTCTAGAAGAGAGTAAATGTAATTGTTTAAGTATTGGATGGGATGGAGATTATAATGATTTCTATTCTTTAAGTTAGACTTCTCCAACTTATTATTCACAAAAGAATTAGACTATAGGTATATCTCCAAATTTATGAGATATCAAAGGAAGTATTTAAGTACTTGAATTATCAATAAATAAGTCGAATAACCAAATATTTTAATTTTCTATAGTGATTTACTTTTATTTAGTATCTGAGTCTTATAATTCATAATATTAATCTCCATCTACAAATTGAATTCCAGTCAATTATGTAGGATAATTTAACCATCCTTAAATATGGATTCCTGTATTCTTTTGAGTAATTGAATCAACAATCACATATTTAGATTGTAATACAATTAATAATAAATAGAAATTTGTGTTTTCATAAAGATGAATATAACAATGTGTTAAATGCTACTAATATATGATTGGATTGTTTATTTATTTATTGAACATCAATTTAAATTTTTATTTAGTAGAATCTGAGAGACGACTACATTTATGTAATATAAAGATTTACTTTCGATATCCACTAATAAGTTTGGAATAGTCATTGGTCTTCTATTTCATGATATGATCTGATAAGAAATGAACATCTGTTCCAAAATTATTGATTACTGCTAAAATGTCATTTGGATTGATGCATGGTGATGACTTTGATGACTTAGAAAATGAATACTTGCATTTCACTGTTCTATGAGATGGATTCAAATAACTAAATGAGACTAGTATCAAAATAAAGAGGGTTTCCTCTTACACAATTCAAATCTCTAAGCAATTCAACTGCGAATTAATTTAACATATATAAAAAAGTTCAAATTTTATATTGAATAATTTTGATTATCCATAATTTTCAAATATTACTAATTTTGTAATTGCAATTATAATTTGAAGTGATTTTTTGCTTGAAATCATCAGAGGTAGAAACTGTGACTTCATCTCTGACAGCAAATGTTTATTCTTTGGATAGTGAATTGCTCTTCACTTTATTAGCTAAATCATTGACACTAATTCCCATTGTTTAAGTGATCATACCTTATCCATAAACTTAAAGGGATAACTTTCCAGAAGTGAATACCTTATCATAAAATGAAAATAGATCCTATTTAGTAACCATATTGATATATTATGCAGCAATTTCCTTTTCTTCAAATGCCAAATCATTATTCTTAATATGTGACCAAGTATTTCTAGCCTTTTCTTTTAAATTCTTCTCAACTTCCTTCAATCCAGATATCTAAAAATTATTATAGAATATATTACAGTTGTAGTTTTTAATTCTTCAAATTATTAATCTGTCATCTCTTTCAATTCTCTTCCATAATTAATTAAAAATTCTTCTATATGTTAATTAACAACATAAGGAGGTTTTGCTGTTCCTTAAACCAAAATTTAAGCACTATCTAAACAACCAACAGGTTTGAATTTTACACTTACAACATAACCTAATTATAATTGTGTACGTAGATAGGCATATGCTGCATTATGAAGAATCTTATATAATAAATTCATCATAGCTAATTGTTTCTAATCTCTGTACCCAATTTAATAATAATTCAGAGTAACTCCATTTGTATCTAATTAATTTGTAGATTTCGAAACCAATGAATATACTATAGATTTACGACTTAAATCTGATACTTAAGTAATATGATTTTGAATTCTTATATGTGAAGTAGATTCATCAAATATCTTAGGAATTTAATTTTATAATGATTATACTTCATCTCTTAATATATTACCTGTAAAATAAGTTGTAAATCTGAAATTCTCTAACATTTCTTTTTAAAATTAAGCTAATTCATCTTTAGTAACTGAATTAATTTCATCTATCATTTAAGAAGGGGTTGGTTAACCTTAAATTATTGTAGGTAATATAATAGAAGTGGCTTAAATGAATAATTTCTATTCAAATGAATTACTTAATTCAGTTATTTAACTTAATTTTACTCTATTCAATAGATCATCATCACTAATTTCATTCTTAATTTCTCTTAATACATTTTTATAAAAATATTCAAATTTATCACTCCATCCATACATTTCAAGTGATAAACCTTTCATAGATGAATCAAAAGATAATTCATAACCAGCTTCAAATGATTATTAAAGTGATTTATATAAATTATCAGATACATAACTATTAAATACTGTTAATAATGCAACTTTCTTTAAAGATTTCATATCTAAAGCAGTTTCAAAATTCATTCCTGCATAAACAGTTGGACTATATGATCTATCCAATCTCCACCATGTTTTACCTTCTATATCTTTCTTAATTAATTATGGAAAATGATTATATTACTCATATTCAAATTCATGTTCTTAACATTCCTTCTTGGATGTGAAATAGAATGGCATTTTATGAGTATTCTCTATAAAGATATTCTATCTATTCTTTCTATCATATAAAGTATTAGAATCAACTGATTAAATATATGAAATATGTTATTAATCACAAAGAGACTTAAAAGCTAAATTAACTGGAACATAATGATTAATTTATGGTAATGTTAATGGAATATTATCAAGCATCATAAAATCCAAACTGTCTCTATCTAATTGTTTAACATCATATTATATATGATAAAGATCATTGGAAAATTGAAGTTCACTTTATTTGATAAAATCTATATCACTAATAGCTGCATTCTATTATAATAATAATGTTGATGGTTATTAAAATGCTAAAAAGGATGCCTTTAATTCTTCACTTTCAATTTCCTCTTAAACTAATTTATATCCATCATCTCCAATCATAATTAACATATTATTAGGATTCATAAGATCAGCTAAATAATTATAAATGCATTAAGGATCATATTTAAAATAACTAGTTTCTGCATTTAATACATATTTTGGTGGAAATGTATTTAGATTATGTGATAATTTAAATATATCTATATCTTTTTCCAAAAATTTAAATTAAACATCTGACATAGCTTTCTTTGTTTTATAAGTTTCTTCTAAAAAATCTGTTGGATTTTATTCTTCATCATAAAATTTATGAATCTATTCTTCAAAATATGATATTATAGCTTATCCTATTTATAAAGCATAATCTTTTTATTAACCAATCAAAGTTTCACTTAATTCAACTTCAATCAAATAAAATTAAAAACAACCATTATTACCTAAAAATGGTTAAGCATCCATATCAACAATTAGATTCTTACTTATTAAGTAATTATATAATCCTCCATCATGTCTTGATCTTACTATTGAATTAATAAATTGAATAGGTTTAGTTTAAAAATATTTTGTACTATCTTCTAATTGATAAAAGTATATTACTGTTGTTGCTCTTGTATTGATATGATATTTTATTAATTTTGCAACATCTTTTATTGGTAATCCAAAATGAGCCAATGATGGTTTTTCTATTTATAAATTTGGAATTTTTAAGAATTCACTTGATTCAATAAATTCTTTCATCATTTCAATAGGTTATGAACTTTTAATTACTAATGCCATTTAATTAGATGAATAATATTATTCATGAAACTTTTTCAAAGCTTCAACAACATGAGGTTTAAGTAATGATTATAAATTACCAATAGTAAATCTACTCATAGGATGTTTAGGATCTGACATTAAACTCATTAAATGCAATATTTTCCATCCATCTCCTGCTACATTTATTTCATACTCAGAATTAACTGCATTAGCTTCCTTTTAGACCATCTCTTATGATAAAAGAGGATCTATAAAAAAGTGTGCAAATACATTTAAAGCCTCACTTGTTCTACTTGTATCTATTGTAAAATAATAATTGGTTCTAGTTCCTTCAGTGTATGCATTTGTATAACCACCTCCTTTTGCCACTAATTATTCAAAATAACTTGTTTCTGGATAGGTATGTGAACCTTAAAATAACATATGTTCTAAAAAGTGAGCTAAACCTGGAAATTCATCTGGCTCATGCCATGATCCTGCATTAACATTCAATGCTGCTTATGTTAATTTAGTTTCTGGATCTCTTATTAATAATACTTTCAATTTATTAGGTAATTCTAAGTATTCATATTCCTTTTTGTCTACAGTTGGTTTTGATATTTCAACATGTTTATGTTCAGATTAATGTATTTTTTATTTATGCTATTTTTTATTCACACTCATTCTGATTTCTAAAAAACTAGGTTAAGTTAATGAATTTTGCAATGCTTTTATTTATTACTCTAAGTATGTTTATTCTTAAATTAATGAAGTCTATTCAAATGATAAATCATTTTAAGCTCCATGCAAACCTATAACTTTGAACAAACATATGCCCATAGTAAAGCAAGCACCCAATAATACTAATAATTGTATTAGTGTAGTGTCTCTCCTTTATTAATGTTATTCTTTTTTCATTTAATATATATTATAACATTAATAATTTAAAAACGGTATTCATATTCTAAATGAAATAATTTACATCTATATATTATATTCTTTAATCTCTAAAGACATACAAGTCTTGATTATTTAATTACAAAAAATTAATTACATAAATTAGAATATTATAATAATAAGAAGTAATATACAAATTATTATGAAAATTCTAATTTAAAAAATAGGCTTCACTTCTTTTTTTTTAATAGAATTTTATCAAAGTCTGCCAATGTATTTTTAGCTATTTGTTTTAGAATGTATTGAGTAGCCTAATAAATAATTATTTTATATATTTACTTCATTTCCAAATTTATCCATTTCCTCATTGATGTAAACATCAGCCAATTCTTAATTAATTGGACATTCTTTTGCAGGTGGTTTTCTTTAAGCATGATTATAAATTTCCTAAAAATTGTAGGATGAACTAAAAGCATCTACTGGTATTCTTTTTTCTGTTATTTTAAGGACAACAACCTTTGCTTATTCTATTGCACTTTTGATATCTAATTTTGAACTCTAACATTTTAATTAAAAATATATATTTACATCATTATATTCTTTTAAAAGTTATTCACATAATTGTTCCTCTAAAGATTACACTATTTAGAATGCATTTTATTCATTAACCTATTTTTAATCAATAAATTTAAATTCTGTTGAAAATAAATACCCTAAAGTTTTTTTTTTATCTTATTTGTATTTCTTAACAATTTATTAGAATTTTGTAATTATTTACTTTTCTTTTCCTTCTAATACTTTACCATACTTATCAAGTATTTATTTTACAAAATTTTAATATCTAAAATCTGTAACCAACTTAACTTCTTTACCTTCCTCTTTATTTTCAGATTTTTCAAGAAACTAAGAATTTTCACTTAGATCAAATTCTTTTGAAAGCTCATCTCTATTGATGGCTGATTTTCCCATTCCAAAATCATCTACTTTTTCTTTAGTTTATATTGGTTTTACTGCAAGAGGAGGAGGTTATTTTGGTTCAGGTACTATTTCTTTAGATGCTGATAATGATTCCTCCTCAAATGATTGACTATATTATGATGATAAATTTGATTCATTTTTAACTTGGGAATTTTGTAATTAACCTCTAATTGGAAATGGATCTCCTAAAATTTCCTTTAATAATTATTCTTAAAGGTACTCTACAATCTATTAAACATCTAAATCTTTCTTATCAACAAAGGAATTTTAAGTATTTTCAAATAAATTAATATCTGTTTACCAATCTATATCTGATTATTATGATCCATCTTCTACTTCTCTATCTTCTGTTAGACTGTTTTTATATGATTATTCATAGACATTTTAATCAGACTTTTCAGTCTTAATCCTTTCAGATTCTTCACCTTCAAAATCTGCTTAATAATAGGATTCTTCCTTTACACTTCTTTTATCTCTTTGTTTACCATAGCT